CCAGTCTTCAGCACTACAGTGATGGTTCAAGTTCACTGGTGGAATAAAGGGGTCCTGGTCTAAAATAATGCAGCCCAGCTGCTGCTCTCAGAGCTGACACCCGTCCCCACTCGGATGACAGCTAACAAACCCAGCGTCCGCCTCGCTGTCCATTTGATGTTTGCTAACGATGATTAAGTTAAGGCTGTTTTCCTCTTTGATTGATGTGAGTTTGTTTTTTTTCCTGTGAATGGATTTCATATCCTTGGCTATTTTTCGGTGGGGTTATTGACTTTCTTTTTTGTGTGTGTTATTGACTTTCTTTTGGATTTGATTGGTAGGGGAATTAACCCTTTGTGTTACTTCTTGTTAAACTCTCCCCGGCAGACCTGATTTGTGGTTTGTCTCTTAACTCCAACTATAGGATGTTCTACCCTGTGGACTTTAGAAAGAAAGGTTTGGGACCTCACCTCCCAAGACCTAGCAGCAGGCTGGTCAGGGTGAGGGGCCAGTTCTGGTGGAGAGTCTTCAGTTCTTGGAACTGAGCACGCAGCCCCTCTGACTGACTGACGGACATGTCCTTCCCCGGTTTCCCTGTGTAATGATGACGGAAGAATCATGCATGTAAGACAGTTGGTTGCATGAGTTCATGGCAAATCATACCCTTCATATGACAGTAGTTCAGAGCTCCAGAGTTTTGAAAGCGAAGTGGTGGAATGAGAGCTAACTGTTGCCCTCAGGATACGGGACCATGGCCTGCACATTCTCTCCTGTACCAGATGACAGCCCGTGTCCGCTTGGCTTATACATCCCAGGCGGCAACTCATGTACGGGCTGTACAGCGACTCGGGGATGGGTCCCGTGTGCGAGCGGCCATTAGTAGATTTGATGGGGTCCAGAGGCTCTGCAGGACTTCGCGTGGGGGCATAGTGGTAAAGGAGATGGGCTGCATGGTCCGCAGTTCCGAACCACCAGCTATTCCACGGGAGAAAGAGGCTACTCGTGTAAAGAGTTACAGTCTTGGAAAACCCGCAGGGGCAGTTCGACCCTGCCCTAGCGGCTCACTCACTGTGAGCCAACATTGACTCGACGGCTGTGAGTTTGGCTTTTGGTCTCGTAAGACTTGGCATAGCACATCCAGGCTCTACACCACGGCCGTCACATCCCGCCGTGCTTCCGTTCTCGCTGTGTAGCGGGTGCAGTAATAAATACCCTGGGAGAAACCCTTTGAGTCCAGCAACAGAAAGAGCCGCACCACTGGTTCGCCAGAGGCGGCCCTGATCGCCTTTGGTCGCTTCCTGCCTGACACCTGGAGCCATTGATGACATTCAGAAAGGGAGGGCTGCCTGGACACGGGAGGCCAGGCTGGTTTTCTTAGGTGAAGAGCACGCCAGCCGGCAGCAGTTCGGGTCACACCATCAGCCTTCCCCAAACTGCCACCAGCGGCCCACAGCCGGGCAAGTGACAGGAGCTCCACCGAGTAACAGGGAGGGAAGACCGTCCCTGAGGAGGAAGACCTGAGGGCACCTACGCCATGCTTTCTGGAGAAAAACCTCATGCAAGCCCAGCCTCAGCACAACAGCCGGGCCTTTCTCGGGAAGTTGTTGACGTCCAAAAGAGGAAAGATCAGGCCACCGGCCTGGCCCCCCACTGCTCTCTACCCGGGAAAGACAGTCGCTAAAATAAAGCCTCAAGTTTGTATCTCGTTGAATGTATAGCTGCCCAGAGTGTTTCCTGGCTCTCCTGTCCAGTGGCGACCCCTCGAGGACCTGTTGGGACTTCGGAGTGACTGGGTCAGCCCAAGGGCAGGGCCTGCAGGCTGTGAGAGGTGGGGGGCGGGGCAGCACTGGCCTCTGGCTTCCTTGAGACTTTCCGTTTCTTCTTGGGGCCCAGATGTGACAGGAGTGGAATGCGTACATGGGATTCTGGCACCGGCCGGCCCAGTGCTCATCTTGTCATTTGACATGAGTGGGGGAAGGACAGGCAGGACACGGTGTCCTTAGGGAGAGCCTGCCTGCCCCCTTGCCTCTCCTGCCATGCTGCGACACAGGCTACCTGATGCCTGTCCCCTGGGCCATCTGTGGCCCTTCTCCCCTGGCCTCTGGAGATTCTTGTCAAGCCCCCAGGCCCTGAACCAGCAGTCCCTCCTGCCAGCCTCTGAGGACCCCAGGAGTGACCCTCCTCAACCTTGTGCCCTCCCCAGGGACCAAGAGCCAAGCCCCCAGTCAGCGGCCTGCCGGGCGCTCCCAAAGAAGAGGGGGTACTGCGAGTGCTGCCAGCAGGCCTTTGAGGGGCTGCGCCTGGTGAGCCTGCCCCGCCGAGGATGGGGGGTGGGGGGGTGGGAGGCCAGCCGTGTCCCACCCTCACCAGAAACCCTGTGCCCCTCTTGCTGGCAGCACCTGCAGAGCGCGCAGCACCAGGGCTTCGTCCAAGAAGCAAATCCTTACGCCGAAGTGGACCGCATTGTCGCCCAGCTCAGCTACAGCGTCCCCTTCCAGGCCGACCTCCCTGGGTGAGCTGGGTGGGTACAGCACCTTCTCCCTCCCCCACCCTCTCCCCCGCTGCATCTGGGCCTTAGAAGAGACCCTTAGGTGAACTGGCCTGCCTGCTTTTCTTTCTTCCCCACCACCCTCTGTCAGGTTTAGGGAGGGTGGGCGGCTCAGCTGAGGGTCCAGCAGGGCCCTTTCAGGCCCCACCCCCGCTGGCCGGTTGGCTGGCATGGAGGTGTGGGAGAGGAGGTCCTCCACTTGCTCCTGCTCTTGAAGGTGCCCCCAGAAAGGAGGATTGAGGGAGTTCCAGAACAAGACCTCCTCCCTCTGGGGCTGGGACCTCACCCTCACCTGGGCTCCCTCCCTGGGCTCAGCTCGGGCACTTCTTGGGTCACTTTCTGCAGCCACCAGAGGGCATGGTCTCCACTGTGCCATCTTTGAATGGAGCCGCCCCGCAGCTGTCCCTCCGGCTAGCTCCGCCACAGGCTGCAGAGCCAAGAGAGGCACAAAGAGCCCTGGCTGCTGCTGCAGGCTCAGACCCAAAGGGCAGGCCTTTCTCAGAGCCCCGAGTGGCAGCTGTCTCTCCACACATGTCCCCACCCTGACCCAGCTCGCAGCTCTGGCCTGGGGGACCCCCCAGCTTGCTACCTGCTCTGGGGAGCCCTGGCTCACTGCCTGTTTGTGTCTCCACAGAAGGCCAGGCTCCATGGCGTCTGACTGTGACCCTCTATTCCCTGAGACCCCACTCCCTGGGCAGCCCCCCTTCCACCTCCCCAGGACGAGGAAAGAAGGCCGCCAGGGTCCAGGGACGACCTCAGAGCAGAATGGGACAGTGGGCAATGTGACACCAGCTGCACCTTCCGGGACTAGGGAAGTACTCAGACCAGGAATACACTGCCAGGAGCGTCCGGGTTCAGTGGGTGCCTGTGGGGACGCTCCAGAGACCCTGGAACCCCAGAGCCCTTCGTGCCAGTACCCACTGGACAGCTCTGCCTTTGCCTACCTCCCCTCTGGCCCAGACCCACCACTGCTTAGCCACAAGCGGAAGGTCCCATCCTCTGGTGGCAATGCTGAGAAGCAGCCACGGGGCTCTTGGCCACAAGCCTCCACCTTGGTCCTGAGAACCTCCAGATCCTGTGGCCCCCAGACTCTCAGTGATGAGCCCCTTCCTGCCCTTCCCCAGCCAGACTATGAGCCCAGGCCCCTGGCCACCTCCTGCCCTTGTACCACCCATTGAGCTACCTCCCTCGCCAGCCCTCTCCTTGTCAGCCCACAGATCAGCTGCCTTCTGGCCTGGGGAGAGCGGTCCCCTTGGTTGGAGAGTGCTGAACACACCCCCTTGCCCTGTCTCCAAGGAGCCTCAACCACTCAGCTCCAGGACAGCAAAACTACCTCTCCCCCCACCCTTAGCGCCCCCCTGTGAGCCGGCCAGCTGCTCTCCACGGTTCTGGGATCCCCCAGCCCTCTCCAAGCCCCTGGCTTTGTCAGGACCAGCCCCAGCCAGCAGAGATCTCTTCTTCTGCATCCCCTTGGGCCAGACAGGTTCCAGGCATGGGGACCACAGATGTCACCTCTGGGTGGCATGGTGCCACGGCCCCATACCAGGCTAACCAGAAGCCGGGCGCCAGAACCTCCCCACAGAGCCCAGGCTTGCATATCTAGGTCCAAGCAAATAGCAGCCCAGGCTGCCTAGATGGGCCCACAGGTAGGCCACCTTGGGGCTAGACCACAGTAGTGGGCTGGTGGCCTCTGTCCCCCAGCCCTGCCTCTGACCAGACAGCACCCACTATGACAGCTGCTGGGCCATGGGCAGGGAGCCGCAGCCCTTCAGGGCACTCACCTCAAGTGTGTGTGTGCCCACCGCCCCCAGTCGCCTTCCCCACAAGCCTGTGGTGCCTGCTTTCTGCAGCTCCGTGTTTGTGTCCCCTCCCCCAGCCCCCCACGCACAGCGTCTCAGGAACATATGAAGCAGAGGAGGGGCTCGCTGCGGCACTTCCAGCGCTCCCTCCCCCATGCACTTAATGGGGTCCAGCTCTACCCCCACCCCAGCCCAGGAAGCAGCCACAGCCTGCTCTGGGGACCCCTCTGGGCTCCTCTGCCCAGGCCCCACCCCAGCCTTGTGCTGTCCCAGGGCCAGCCTGGTGAGGACGCCCCTGCCAACTTGTGCATCTCCCCCTCCCCCAAGAGCCGCCCCGAGGGAGGTTCCACAGCCTGCGGCTGAGCAGAAATGGGTTTGTTATCGATTCTTGGGTCACTTTTTCCTTCCCCAGTGAGTGTCGGCTCCTCACCCTTCCCTGTCGGCAGTGAGTCTCTAAACGCTGCCGCCTCCGTCCTGGCCCGGGTGCTGTTCTGGGTGTCATTTGGGAGGGAGAAGGGAGGCCTGGCAGTGGGTGAGGCCCTGAGTTGTTAGTTTGGAAATAAGCAACTGGGTGTACAACCTCCTCAGAGGTCATGGTTGGTCTTTGGAGGCCTTTCTAGTTGAAGGTCATAATCTGAGTTCATGATAAACTGCAAAGCGAACCTGATGGGTGGGTGTGTCTGGTCCTCAACCTGCCTGGCACTGGCGGAGGCAGAGGGGAGGGCCCCTCGGGTAGCAGGTCGTGTAGAGAGGGTGGTGAATGCCACCGCCTCATGCCAGCCAGCACTGGGGACAGTCTCGCCACTCACTCTGCCCCAAAGGACACGTTCACTTGCTTGCTGCCCTTTTAGGGGCCAGACACTAGCTGATGTTCCGACCCTCCGCCTTCCCTCTGCTGCTGTCTCAGCCCTCTGTCCCAGTCTAGTGGCCTTGCTGCCTTACCCCCCACCCCCGCCCCACCCGACAAGCCCCCGTCCCCATCTTCCCCTTCACTGCTTGTCAGTCTTGGCAATGTCACCAGCTGCCCTGTAGTGGCATCCATGTTCCCTGGGTCTCCTACTCCTCCACCCCAGCCCTACACTGGCTTCCTTTTATTTTTTTATTACCACCTTGGATCTTCACACCTGATCCACGAACCGGTCCTGCCCTTTCTACCTGTGTACCCTTGTAAGTAGCTTCTCCTTCCCAAACCTGGGCCATGCGTATCATTTCAATGACCGCCAACATGGGGAGCTCTGACAGCTATACCCGCAGGCCAGCTTCTGGCCGGCCCCTGGGATGTGGGTTTAAGTAGAGGGCACCCAGGGCACCAATATCAGTGGGTGCTGCGTGACATCAGTTAAGCCCCTCATTGACTTGAGACTTAGCAAGCCTCCTTTCCTTCTTCAGGTCCCCAGCCTGCAATCACCACCCTCCCTCTCAGGGCATTGGCTCCTCCTGCAGCCAATTACCCTTTCAGAGGAGGGGGGTCCCTCCCCAAGTCGCATACACACACACACACACACCTTCCCTATCAGTTCTCTCCACACCTCCCTTTCTCCCCTGAAAACTGCTCCATCCAGCAACTTAAAGAGGGCGCCCCTGCCCCTCATTAACTACCTGAGTCTGTCGCTTCAAAGTCACCGAATCACCTGCTGATTACTAAGTTCTGGCTCCTTTTCTGTTCCCACCTCCCTTTTGGCAGAAGCACCTGGAAGTCTTGAAATACCTCCCGTTCCCAGCCCCCACCCTACCCGGGCTGCTTTCCTTCTTCCTCTCCTGGTCCCTGAAGGACCCTCCAGCCCGAGCACTTGGTCTGGGTTCCCCTCCCCTCCCCACCATTTCCCATCTGAGTGTCCAGCTCCACTACCACCACCACCCCCATCGTCCCTCCACCCAGGTGGCTGCGGAGCAGCTCGCCTCCCTCTTAGGCAGCTTCCAGGTGCAAAGCCTAAGGAGTCCACCTTAGTCTCCTCTGCTTGAATGAGGAGATTCGGAGGAGGTGATTTCAAAGGTCATTCCCTTCCAATAATAATACCGCCTCCTCACCAGGACCTTGTTTTCCTCCCAGTCAGCTGCCAACAAGGGCAGCATACCTAAGAGGTCATCCTCGAGCCTCGACACTGACTGTCCCTTCCCACTTTCTCCCCACAGCCTCCACCCCCTGCCTCAAAGCCACTGCTGGAACCCATCCAATCTCAAGCCCTCTGATGCACTCTCTGGACAGTACCCCCCCTCCTGCAGCCCTGCCGCCTCCCCGCAGTCCTGTTCCAGCAGGGATCCTGTCTCTAGAGCACTGCACACTCTGCCTTCGACCGACTCGTCCTTGGTGTTCCTGCCCCTGGAATGCCCGGCTCTTCCAGGCACAGGTTCCAAATTCTCCAACCCCCTGGTTGGGCACCTTCCAGCCAGGAGCTGTGAGCCACACAGCCTCACCTCCCTCGGGACGTAGGGATGACTTGTAGGGACTTGGCCAACAGGCAGCCTAGGCTATTAGGGTTGAGATCTGGCGAGAACCAAATCTGATCCCGGCTGTAAGGCGTCCTGGTTGTCAGATGGTTGACTGCTTGGCTGCTAACCAAGAAGTTGTTGGTTCAAACCCACCAGCGTTCTTCCATGTGGAAGCCTGCCCTTGTGGGGCAGTTCCACTCTTGCCCTAAGACTCGGGACCAACCCAACAGGCCTGACTTGGTTTGGGTTTGGTAGGTTGTCAGAGACCAGTCCCTGGAGAAGGCCATCGTGCTTGGTCACGTGGAGGGGCAGTGAAAAAGAGACCATCGGGCGCGATGGATTGACAGTGACTGAGTACAACCTCGGGCTCAGACCCAGGAACAACTGTGGGATGGCGCAGCCCTGGGCGGTGTGTGGTTCTGAGGGCGACAAGACGCCAATCAATGGGGACAATGACCCCCTTCCCCACCTCTGAGACCCGCCTCCTAGAGACCCTACAGAGCCTATTTTCACTAACACCCCACCTTGTGACTTCTCGGGACCTGCTGTCTGGCTGCAGAGTGAATGGACGGGGCGAGCTGCGGAGGCACTGTATATCTACTAGAGGGAGACCCTGTGCCAGGCCACACGTTAGCTCCCAGAAGACCCTTTGCCTGGGGAGGTACTGCGAACCCACACAGCATGTGGGGCCCCTGGCGACAGGAGAACATCTGTCCCCCACGGGTCTCAAAGGATGGCTATGCCTAGAATCCTGGAGCACCAGGTGTCCCTGAGTCCTCCCTGGAGTGAGGCTGGAGCTTCGGAGCTAAAAGGAGCCAAGCGGGGAGCAGGGCCCTGGAGAGGGGGGATACCTTCTCCCTGTAGGACAAGCTGAGTGCACTGGGACCTGGGAGAGAGCAGGCTGAACATAAGATCCCAACATCTGGGGCATCTCTACCCACCCCAGTGTCATGTCAGTGAGCACAAGCTCTCCTTATCTGGACAAGAGTTCCAGCAGGCAGCTGGTTTTGCCTTGGCACCTTGCAAACACGAACCCAAGAAAAACCAATCTCCAAAGGACAAAGTGTCTGACCGCTCATGTATTCTATTCATGCCTTTGAATTATGGTGTTGGCAATGAATTTGGGCTGCCAATGGATCTTAGAAGTACAACCAGAATGCCCCTTAGAAGCAAGAATGGCGGGGCAAGAACAGTGATAACACCTTGGACATGTTATCAAGAGGGACCAGTGTCAGAGAAAGACGTCGTGCTTGACAAGGTAGAAGGTGAGTGAAGAAGAGGCTTGACATAGCTGCAACAATGGGCTCAACTAGAGCACCGATCGGGAGGATGGCACAGGACTGTGCACTGTTTTGTTCTGTTGTACGTAAGGTTGCTATGAATCAGAATGTACTTAGTGTACCTAACAACAGTAGCATTTATATAAAAATACAAGCAAAGGCTAATGCTTAGTGATTACTGGGGATAAGGGAAGGAGCCCTGGTGGTGTAGTGGATTATGTGCTAGGCTGCTAACCTCAAGGTCAGCAGTTCAAAACCACAAACAGTCCGAGGGAGAAAGATGAGGCTTTGGTATTTTATAAAGATTTACTGTCTCAGAAACCCTGAAGGGCAGTTCTGCTCTGTCCTGTAGGGTTGCCGAGAGTCGGGAAAACGTGTTTTAACTTTTTTGAGGGAGGGAGAGAAGAGGGGTCAACAGGGATGAAAAAAACAAAACAACTACATTGATTAAAGGAAATGTTGCACACGACCAATTACTTTAATTGCTGTCAATAAGTTATATGCCTGTAAAAAGTTGAATTGACAAAAGTTGTATGTAGATATATTTGCAGTGACACACTGTGTTAGGCTGGGTTGGCTAGAGAAACAAATCCAGCGATACTCGTGTATAAGAGAGAGCTTTATATCAAAGAGCAATTGTATATTGAGAAAATATTCCAGCCCAGTCCAGATCATCCATAAGTCTGATACTAGTCCATAAATTCCTCTTTAGACTCACGCAGCACATGCAATGATGCCGAATGCAGGAAGGTCACAGCCTATTGGTGGATTCAATGGAGGTGGAAGCATCCCAGCGCTGGCATGGGTCTCCACGTGGCTGCTCCAGCTCTGGGGCTCTGGCTCCGCCCGCATAACTCCATGTGGCTTGTCAACAGGAATGTGACAAGAGGAGTGTCTGTCCCCCCTCCAAGGAGGAAGACAGGAGTTGCCAGAATCCTCAGGAGAAAGCCATCCCCACCTAGAGAGAGGCATCTCTGGCCATGACCTTATTGACAGGCTAGACTCCACCCCTTCGCTTAAGTTGACAGGAGGTTATGTAACTGCGGCACGCATGTGCACACACAGTTGCCATGTTATTTATGTACAAGCATAGGACTTGGTTTGGAGGGTCAGGGTCATGGTTTTTATGAGACATTCCAGTTAACTGGGTAATAATAGGTTGAGTACTTCTGTTCTACCTCCTAGCTCATTGCACAGTGTTAGGGTTTTAAAATGCCTATAAAGCTGTCATCCATTACCCACCAATTCTCTCTCTTCACTTGGGACCACAGAGGAAGAGGGGGAGTCAGGAATAGGAGGAGGAAATGGAATGTGAGGCTGATTCCTACCTTTGCCGTTGAGACCAGAACTGGATGGTGCCCAGTTAACATTACTTAACGTTTTGATAAAAGATTCTGTACAAGAATCCTGATCAGAGAGGGGAACATGCAGGACATCATTTCAAATTCTCACGGACTCTTTTGGAGCCATGGAGGGTGAATGGCCTTGAGATAATTTTTACACTTGAAGCCCAAAGGTCCCCTTTGTACTAGTTTAGCTTCACTAGTACAAAAAGGTCTGCCTTGAGCATTGTGTTCTTTTAAGACTCATCTACATGGGATCAAATTGACAAAAGCAACTTGATAGGTTAGATGAGACCCTTAGGGGACAGGGATACAGGGAAAGGCAGAGGAGAGTGGTTGCACAACTCCAAGAATGTGATCAATATGGAGTTTTATGTGTAGGAACTACTGTACTGGTATCTATTTTGCTGTGTATAGTATGAGCAACAAAATTAAAGGGAAAAAAAAAAGCCAAACTGACACTGCATTCAGGGTGAATGCTTATAGCTTCTCTGACCCTCATTTCACAGATGAGAAACTGAGACTCAGAGAGGGTGGGTGCTTGCTTGAGTCACACCTCCTGTAAGCGGAGGAGCCAGGGACAGAGTCCAGCTGGTTGCTTAGAGTCCTGATTCCTACCCCCTCGAGTGGCAAAGCCTCTGCCGCAGGCCTCCAGGACTGGGCACCGGGCCTGGGCAGCCTCTACTGGCAGGAAGCACTGTCTACTGCCTGGCCTCAGGGCAGGAGTAATCGACCCCCTTCCTTACCTCCATGACTGGCACTGTTGGGCCCAGCTTGGCCCCTTATGCAGGAAAAACTAAGGGAGGAATTGGCTGAAGGGCAAGAAGAGTCCACCCCCCCCACCCCCACCCCCAGCCTGGTTCTAAAGCTGCTCAGGAAGAGGGAGGGGTCCTGAAGGAGGGCTTCGGGGAAGACCTGGGCTGCCTGCCCCTCCATCCCATTTGCCACACACAGCTTCTTTCAAGGGGTGACTCCAAGGGTGGCAATCTGACACCATGGCCGCTGGCCCCAGAGAAGCAAAAGGTAAGCAGGAGGGACCAAAGGGGCCTGCTATACCTGGAGGGGACCCCCAGAACCCACCCCCACCCCCGGAGCCCAGTTTAAGAAGGGAACAGCCCTTGCTACCCAGGCTATGGCTGATGCGGAAGACCTAGTTCCAGTTCTTATGAAGTCCCCGTCTGACGGGAGGCGTCTTGGCTGTCCTCAGGGAGCCCCTGACCTCAGGAAATAGGGGAACTGGGGGCACATTTCCTGCTTAAAGGAGGGGTGCAGCTTGTAGCTGAGCTGAAAGGATGTGCAGGGTGGGTTGGGGAAGAGTGGAGAGTGGAGTTGAAAGAGTGAGGGGTGCCCAGTGCAGGACCCCTGGGGGGAGACAGGGGCCTGTGTCTGCTGGAGCTGGCAGGGTGCCAGTAGGGGGGCATCACTCTGGGGGGCCTGGAGGTCTCCCCAGCAATAAGTGAAAGGAACTAGGGCCACAGATGTGACAGGAAGACGCCTTGGCTGAGGCAGCCCGGGCCACAGTTCGGGCTTGCTGAGTGGGCTAGATGTGTATGTTGGGGCAGGGCCCAGACTCCTCAGCTCCAGGACCCCCTCCCTCCCCACTGAAATGACACTGTACCCTTTTGGGAGGCACAGGGAATTGGGGACTCACTGACCTGACATGGCCCTGAGAGACCCCACAGGTGGGGCAGGACCACGTCCTCTGGTGGTGACTAAGTGAGGTGGGGGAATGGATCCAATAGACTTGTTCCTGCTGGTTACCAGGTAAAGTGGGGATGAGGGTGACCCTTGGTGTGGCTTTGGGAAGCTCGCAGAGCCTCCATTTCCCCATCCATTAAGCGGGGAGCACCACTTCACTCCTGGACCCGGTGTTTCCGAGCCGATCGCAGAGCAGGCCCTCATCCCTCAGCCTCTGCACCCTGACAGCCTAAAGGAGATTTTCAACACAGCTCCCTCTGCTCGCTCCAGCATCTGGGTCTGGGGTGGCAGGTGGCTGGAAGGTGGGGAGGCACCCAGTTCCCAGTATTGATGTCAGCACCTCTCGGGAAATCGCCTTCTCACCGCTCGCGCCTAAAATAGAGCTGGTGGGGAGTGCCTGTCACGTGCCAGAGACAGCTCCCCCTCCCTGGCAGAGGCCTGGGTCCCCAGAGATACAGAGGACTCAGAAAGGGGTTCCCTGCAGCCATTGGTGTGCCTCAGCGACCTGTGGTCACCCCTTGGGTGCCAGGGTGCTGTGGCCTTGAGACATTCGGGTCAGGCTCACTAGCAGTGTCCAAAGCCTCTCACCCACACCCATGTCTCAGGTCTCCCAGGACCCCCAACAGAGATCACGACCCCAGTCTGGCCAAGAACCCAGGAGGTAGGCTGGAGCAGCCCGCTGGGGCAGCCCGCTGTAGCTGGTGGCTGGACAGGAGACCCGTGGGGCCCTGGAGAGGTAGCGTGGGTGGAGGTCAGAGAGAGGAGCCTTCGGGTCCTCAAAGATTTTAGCTGGCAGGAGAGGGGCAGCACTGGGGTGGCTCACTGCCCGCATGGGGCTGGGTAGTTCGCATTATAGTCAGGGCAAGGATTGGGGTATCCGGTGTAACGGACTCAGGAGCCCCGAGTGGACCGCTAGCCTTTCTTGGAAACTTGGGGACTCCTGGACACAGGGCGGCTTTGACCTTTGGAAGGCGCCTGCGGGATGGGGACGGGTCTGGGCAGAAGGTGTGGGCACACTCCGCCATGGCCCTCAGCGCCGCACGCGGTGGGGGTCACGCTCTGATGGAGGCTCGGGGAGGGTGTCCAGCTCCGGAGCCCCTGCCTGGCCAGCCCTGGGGCTCCGGCCCAACGGCCACACCCCCGCACCTGCGACGACGCGCGGGAGCCCAGCCACCTGGCCGTGCCCGGGTCAGAGCGCAGTGTCCAGCTGTTCCCTGCCTCCCTCTCCTTGGGACCTGGGAGACCCCTGTGAAGGGAGTGGCCGGGGAGGGGCCTCCAGGCGGGGTCAGCGCCGGGGCCCGCTGACACCTG